GTGCGCCGCCGCCAGCGGCGGGCAGTGCGCGGCGGCCGGGTCCAAGTAGAGGCTGAAGTCGATCGCTCTCTCCCGCTCCTCGATACCCAACTCCGTCATCGAGTCGCCGAGCCTCCAGTACGAGCCGCCGGGGTTGAGAATGCCGTCTCTCGCGTGGATAGCAAAGCCTCCCTCGTCGTAGAAACCGGCCACTTCCATGGATCTTAACACCCGCCGGATTGCACCAGCATCGGGGGCTGATGAGGCGCCCGCGTCGCTAAATTCTTCGAGTGGCGCGACGCTTTCGCTTGCTGTTGCTGTTGTTGTTGTTGTTGTTGTTCTTCTTCTTCTTCTTTTGGCGTTGCTCGCAGAAGCACTTCTACGGCAAGCAACCGACAAGTCGTGCTCGCTGTGGATTTGGGAGGATTTTGGCAGGTCTTCTTGTCACGGGAGAAGTTTTATTGCAGGCGAGGGGCGTGGCTTAGTTCGGCAGGTGTGTGACGTACTAAAGAGGACACTTGCTTCTTCTTCTTCTTCTTCTTTTGGCGTTGCTCGCAGAAGCACTTCTACGGCAAGCAACCGACAAGTCGTGCTCGCTGTGGATTTGGGAGGATTTTGGCAGGTCTTCTTGTCACGGGAGAAGTTTTATTGCAGGCGAGGGGCGTGGCTTAGTTCGGCAGGTGTGTGACGTACTAAAGAGGACACTTGACAGTCTCCGCCAACTCCGCGGTTTGCGCGATTATTATCGCACTGTTTTTTTTTTGAACGCCTCGAGTACGACACAAACAGTCACTTAACAAAAACAATAAACAGGATACATAACTGACTGGCCAGCATCTCAAAATCGGGAGAGAAGCCACACTTGTTGACAGTTGGTCCGATCACGCCCTCTAAAGAAAATTTGTGGAAAATTTCACAAGGCGGCTCAATGCCTTTTTTTTTTCACTTTACGTAGTTGTGACGTCAGCACACGAAGCAACTTGAGACTCCCCCTAAAACACGGGCAGCTATGACTTATTCCTGTTTATTATTGTTATTATTTGGTTCTTGTCTGACTATATGTTGTTGTTGTTGTTGTTGTTGGCTAATTCCATATACGTATATATGACTATAATTATGATGTCTGGCTCTGGGGGGAAAGAAATATTGCAAAGATGTCATTTTCTCAGCTTTAGCTTTTTGCAGATACTGAGTAAAATGAGAATTTTGTTTTTTTTCGATAAACCACTGAAACAATACATTGCGAATTCCAAATACAAATATTGTCATTTCGCACATTTATTTGTAGGAATTTAAAATGGGCTCAATATCAAAAAAAAAAAAAGTTTCAGGGATTTTGCACTCATATTCCCCCCCCCCCCCGCCAGGGCAGTATACCTCTGAAATGATTTGTTTGTGTCTGTATAAGTATCATTGTCAAAAGAACAACAGGCATATAAATTAGCATTTGTCCTTTTTTTTTGAACAAGGAAAACTTGTTCGTTTATTGACAGCAGGGGTGGCCAACCAGTTAGAGACGACGAGCCATTTTTTTACTGTGTGCCTGCAAAGAGCCACGTGCACATGGGCATCCCGTCCTCGCGCGCACGCACACACGTACACACTTTTTTGCCCAAAGATCGACTTTTGAAGCGTCCAACCTCCCACGATCCGATCGCGCACGTGCAAGAACACACACACACACACACACACACACACACACACACACACACACACACACACACACACACCCCTGATTTACAGCATTCATGATTACTGTGACATGTTGCAAATTTTCTTATTATGAGATTCATAAATGTTATCTTACACATGTCTACTGCCAGAAGGCAGCTGCTTTGAGCTCCAATAATACTCGTGACCCTTGTGGGGATAAAACGGTTCAGAGGATGGAGAGATTGTTATGTATTTCATAATGAGGTGATCTTGTGTAACTCAAGTCCGGTGGTCTTAGACCTGTGGAAGGTTTTAACTGAGCATTGACTGCCATCTCGTGGTCTAAGAAATTAAGTAGCAAACACTATCTTGAAGCTCAAATGTAAATAAAGGGTGGGGGTTAAAAAAATCCTGATAAAAGATCCCCAAAAATTTCACAAATGGCCGGATGCGCTCCCAACATGCTTTGCGTCACTAAGGATGTAAATAGAGTTGAAATGCATATTTTGTGACAATTATTTCTTCCCCCATTGTTTTAGTTGTTTCATTTTTTTTTTCATTATATTTTTTCAGTTTGCCGTTATGTGATAATGTTAATTTTGATGTGACACCGTGACTGCGACTGACATGTTGACACTTGCAATTGTGTTTGACGTGAATCTCATTTTCCAAAGGTTGGATGAAGAGCCTTGATATCGAGCCAGGACGTATATGACGCTTTGTCGCCATCTGTTGTACATCGGGTGGTACGGCATCGTGTCGTGAGGGGGAGGGCCGGTCGCTTCCTAAAACAGGTCGGGTGGGTTCAGCCATAACTCAGGAAATGCATTCTCTCTTTCGCGACGCCATTGGTCAGACGCCGACACCTTTTGCGCGTGATAATTGGCTGCCGGCCTCGCTTTCTCGCATCCGATTGGTCCAGAACGTTACGCTCGCGGTCGGCCGAGAAATTGACGTTTCCGTTGGCTCCTGACGAGGAGCAGACAGACTCAACTGAAGGGGTTGGGCCCAAAGTGGAGAAATGGCGAGAATGGTGGACGAGAGCGGGCGCGGAGAGGAATCGCAAAACCCCGAGCGACAGGAACCCGACCGGGGCTCGGCGAGGTGGGGTCCACAGCACGCCGGCGCCCGAGAACTGGCCAATTTATATTCGCCAGGTGAGTCACCACCGCGTCGCTACTCGGTCTTCAATGCTAGGTTTGTTCCTCCGGCACCATCACCCAGGTCGGGCGTATTCGACTGGAGTTTCGGTGTCTACAAATGACCAAATAAACGTGTCGGTTCTTGATCGATCCACGAACGTCGACACGGCTTGCTTGGGCCACTGTGCGCGTTGCACAACAGCACTCACGTGAAGTCGCTTCAATTTGTGTTGGGAGTCCTTGTGTTGCACAGTATTTGCATTTCGAAACATCAAGTAGCAGCGACACAAATGTTCGCCTCCCCTCCCCAAAGGGCAAATAAGCGCCTTCGTCAAAAGCCGTTCATAAAGTGCAGTAAGGCCACGAACTTATCCGAGACCTTGGCGTTTTACAGTCTTGCGAGTATTTTTTTTTTCACAATTTGGAAACGTATGCGAGCACAAAGGAGTACGTTGTACAGGTTTGATTCCCTTGCAAGCCATTTGGCTGCCTGTCAGTTTTAAAGTTGCAAACAAGAGTCATGTAACCACACAGAGGAACGTTGCATCATCATCATCATGTGATGGCGGCGCGTGATTATACACCTTTGGGGGGGGTGATTTGAATAAAATGATGTCACGCCAGGTAGCGCCACTGTGGCCTGTTTGAGATCAGAAGGTCCCCACAGTGTATATGAGTGACTCAACTTAAAAAAAAAAAAAAAAAAAGAGGTTCAAACTGTTCACTGACACTCCCGGTCAGTTCAGGGTCAAAGTAAACATCAAACAAAGGGATTCCACGAGTTGTCCATTTAAAAGATGAAATGGAACAACCACATAACTTTGCTCAATGGAAACGTATAGTTAATAACGGGCACACTTTTGGAACACATTTTATTCGTATCTCCGGGCATTACTGTATTTGAAAAGTGCTGTACTGAAGCTGCCATTCATTCACCTGCTGTTCTTGCAGGCAAAAGATGCCAAGAGTGGATTAGTGTCCTCCTCTGCTTCTCTCTCATGGCCTTCAATTTCCTTCACCTCCTTGCCAATTTCCACCTGGGGCATTTGTGGTACATCCTGTTGGGTATCGGTAAGTAGTGACTGACAGATATTCGGCCATGACGTCCTATTAAATGACTCTTCTATCGTGTGCGCCTTTTGGATGAATGTGTAGCGGCGGGGATCCTCACCGCAGACTTTGCCTCGGGCCTTGTTCACTGGGCGGCCGACACGTGGGGATCGGTGGATCTCCCCATCTTCGGAAAGGTGACCTCAACTGCGTTGCACTTTTTTTTTTCCTTCCTGTAATTACACCGTATGTGTGCGTGCGCGCGCGTCCTGTCATTCTACTGCATGCAGGCCTTTATCCGACCCTTTAGAGAACACCACATTGACCCCACAGCCATCACCCGTCACGACTTCATTGAGACCAATGGCGACAACTGCATGTTGACTCTTGTCCCGCTCGCCAACATGGCCTTCAACTTCCTCACCCTCTCCCCTGGTGAGTCCCCTCGCACCACGTCTTAGAATGAGCCGGCAAAAACCGTTGGCCAACTCGGTTGTGGTGACCCCAAAATCGATGCCTCCAAACTTCGAATTCATCTCCCCGAGCAAAATGATCTCAACTCGAGCGCTAATCTCCAGAGCACTTGAAAACAAATCGTCTTGCCACAGAGCTGGCAAAAACCGTTGGCCAACTCGGTTGTGTTGACCCCAAAATCGATGCCTCCAAACTTCGAATTCATCCATCCATCCAAGCTCCACACGGGAGGTTTGCGAGCTGCAAAGTTTGACCAGAACTTGAAAAATTCCAGCCGTGAGCTCATGATGGGGCTCTGCTCCGAGCGCTCGTGACAACCGTCGTCTCCCCGAGCGAAATGATCTCAACTCGAGCGTTTCTCTCCGGAGCACTTGCAAACAAATCCTCTTGCCACGTGACGATATTTGATCCCCTCTCAACGGCAGCCGAGATCTACCACCTGTACCCGTGGTACTGCTACCTGTTTGCACTCGGCATCTTCGTGACCCTCACCAACCAGATTCACAAGTGGTCCCACACCTACTTCGGCCTTCCCCGCTGGGTGGTCTTCCTCCAGGACTGCCACGTCATCCTGCCCCGCAAGCACCACCGCATCCACCACGTGTCCCCGCACGAGACCTACTTCTGCATCACGACAGGTTTGCCTCCGTCGACGCCGCAAGCCCCGCCCCGCCCCGCCCCGGCGCGGCCGCCCAAGAGTCTTGGCGCAGGGTTGATTTTTGTTGCAGGTTGGCTCAACTACCCCCTGGAGAAGGTGGGCTTCTGGAGGAACCTGGAGGATCTCATCCAGGGAGTCACGGGAGAGAAGCCCAGGGCCGACGATCTCAAATGGGCTCATAAAACCAACTAACGCCGGAGGCCAGCTTCACCCTACCTCAGACGAAGCCCCCTCCCCCCAAGCCTGTCTTGCCTCGCCGTGAGACAAACTAACAGGTTTTTCTGATGCCATACGCTTTAACTCTTGCACATTTTCCATTTTTTCAAGAGGATTCTGTGTTGGTCTCGTCAAAGCCCAACCAATCTATTTTTAACCGCGCGACTCGACGAAAGCCGTGCTCCGAAAAGCAATGCCGGATCACTTTCCAGAAGGGGAGAAATCGGGAGCAGTCCTCCTCAGCTGGTCATTTGGACTCCATTTAGCGCCGATCGGCTCATCCCGAATCGGAAATTCCCTCGCATCCCATCCAAAGGTCGTTTGGTTTGCGGGGTGGAAGGAGGATGCTGAGCCAATCGATGCAAAGGAAGAAATTGATGGATGTTTCCTGTTACATTTGTTGAGCGCCCACTTTTTGGGGCCGATGTCAGACGACGAGCTCGAGAATTTGCCACACTTTTGATTGAAACCGCTCGACAGCCTCGCACAACCGTGGGTGGCTTTGTCACGACCTGACAAGAATTAGTCCAACGCCCGAACGGCTCGTGAAACGACAGGTTGCAAAACAAGAGTACATCGAAATCAAAAGTCACCTGACCCTGCTGGCTTCATGAGAATCGTCCCCTCCATTTAATGCGACGAGAATTGCATTCTCACACCAGATACAACTCCTCTTCCTTTTTTTTTTTTTTTTTTTTTTTTTTTTTTTTTAAAGAGCTGACTGGCCATTTGCAAGACGCAACACAGCGACTTCTCAATCGTGTCCTCCTTCCATTTAAAAAAAAAATGTTGGTTAATAAGTGGATGTCGTCATGGAGTGCATTATATTAAACCTCGTGTCTTACACTTAAATAACAGAATAACTGTCCGTTCAACCAAGACTCAATTCATCGCCACAGGAAAAGCAAAAAAAAAAAGAGCAAAAAAAAAAAAACCCAAATCCTTCAACTAAATTGGAGGTTTTTCAACCACATTTCGCGCGAGAATGAGTCAAGCCTTCGTGTCGAGTCACATCCGAATGTACCTAATGGAGTGGCCCGGGTGTGTCAGCTTATATCCGGTCAGTTTTTTGTTGTTGTTGTTGTTTTTTTTTCTCCAAACCACCTCTCAACACGCCACACGTTATTTGTATCTCGACTCTTTTTTTTCCAAACTTTTGTGTCGCTCGACTCGTCTTGCAGTAAGCATCACACTGACGCTAGACGGGAGCTGGCGTGTTTTTTGTACGGCGTGGGAGTGCTTTCCATCCCACCCGCGTGTCTCGTACAATGGTGCCTTGTGACATTGGGATCTCAAATCGTATTTCCCCCATTGAAATGAATGGAAAGGACACGAATCTGTATTGAAGAAGGAAAAATAGCACTGTTGAATGTTGTATTGTATAAAAGCGGAGCGATAACAAAATCAAATAGAATGTCAAGAACAAAACCGCCTGTGTGTGTGTGGTGATTTCAGTTTGCTCAATTCAATGCCGCTCCTTTCGGTGGAGCCGCCGGGACGCGCGCGGTCTACGACAGGCGTGCGGACTGAAACGACGAAGAAATGTGCTTTTTCTGCTCAGTGACTCAAGATGGTGTCATCGTAGTCGCTTTCCCAAGAGGAGAAAAAAATTCACACCTTTGTGAATGATCTGTCGATGACTCGTTCGCTCGTCGTCGTGAAGTGAGTCGAATCGCGTTCACGGCCACCGTACGGCATTCGCATCTTTCCGAATGACGGCCCACGTTCTCCGAAAAACTCGGGTGGCTCGTATCTCAAGGCACCACTGTACCTTCATGACGTCCGAAGGGCTTCGGCGACGGATGCGATTTTTGTCGCGGAGCCGCCGGCGGGAAGCTTTTTCATTTCTTTTCGGAACGCTTTCATCGGTCCCGTCAACGCGCCTCGTGCGGCAAAAACGACTATGCAGTGTCACGTCATGTCTTAACTGGTTGGAATTCGTCGAAGGCCTTTCTTTCTTTTCCTGAAGCGTCGAGCGCGACGTTTCGGAAGTTCTTCCCACCGTCGATTGTGTCGCGCTTGTCGAGTACTGCGAGGAGCAACTTTGGGTGTCACGCTGGTCAATGGAGGTCACTTTTGTTTGTGGATCTTGCGCCAGATTTTGGTGTTTGCTTCAACACAAAAGCAGTGTATTGATTTTTCTTTGTGTGTGTTGACATTTGAAGGAGGTTTAGTGTTCACATGCAAATGTTCGCAATTGTGCATCACGTGAATTGAATTTCCGTCTGCAATTGGGCGCTCCCACTGGATTAGTGTCAGGAAGTGAGTCAGTCAGTCGGTCGGCCGGTCGGTCGGTGGTATACTTTGACAAGTTTGGTTCAAATCGTGGATGTTGAGTTGCTTGGATATGGACTTGCCTCATCGGCTCCCTGATTTGAGTGAGTGTTTTGCCGAAAACGCTCGTGGACTGACACGAGGTGGCGGATCCGGGTCCAGAAAGTAAAAACGCCGCCACAATGTGGCTACTTGGACTCAAGGGCTCATTTGACCTTCCGCTTGAGGCTAAAGCCAAATTGGCCGAGTTTTTAGTTTTGGCACCCGCATTTGCCCCCCTTTTCCCCCCCCCCCCCCCCCGGATGATGTTGCCCTTTCTGGGAGACGAGGCAAGTTTTCGATATCACAATAACATACCTTGATGCCTTTTTGTTGTCTTCCATGGGGGAGATGTACAATGTGTATAATGTATGAAACTCTTTATTTATAAGTCAACCCAATAAAAGTTCAGTACTCGGACCGCTTTCTCCATTATTTCTTGATCATCGTTGGCAACACGATCCAACCTTAAAACCACTGCATTAAACCACACGTCCAAGTGTGTGTGTGTGTGTGTGTGGCCCGCTAACCACTGGATCACCGGGCTCCTGGTCTCATTTTATAATATTACCCAAAACCTGCCATTTCAACAGAAATCCAGTGTTATATGCAGTGGCCATCAAATAACTTCAGATTGGGTGAAAGCAGCTTATGTTGAATGAGAAATACCAACTTCAATGGATCGTGAAAGATTGAAGTGACATCATGTGTGCGGACCTCACACGAATGTTTTCGTTGTACTCCAAAGTACAGGACTCGCTTCATGTAAAACTTTGTAAAAAGATGTTTGCCATTGTTCCAAAACAGCATTTGGGTTCAACGCTTACCTTCGACTTCTAAATCAGTGTGGCGAGCCTGGCTTTGCTCTTCCAACTCGGCGGGGGTTACGATTTCAAAGTAGGGTTTCACGTCAGTGGATGACTGTCAAATGTCCAGGGTTAGGGTTTGAGTTTCACAGTGCTTGAAGCCAAAGTTCAAGTTTTAAACTAGCCAAAGTACAGGGAATGCGTTTCATGCCAATTTGATCTATTAATCCATTTATTTATTCACATGAGCTTACCAAATTGGCAGAATGGCCTTTGACAAAAGAGGTCATGTAGGGCCGCTGGGAATTTCGTGACTTTGGAGGCCCGTCGACATTGACAAACAAAAATTCGATTTGTATCACGAATTGATCCTCGCAGACTGATTTTGCATGAAAAAAAATCTACCATCCAGACTCGAGTCGTGCACGACGACTCATCTGTTTTGGAGCGGCCCGATCTGAGAAGAGGGTCGGTTCCGACTTTTGAATCAAGGAGGGCTGACTCGCGCGCGCGTGCGCGCGCCCGCGACGCGAACAACGGCTTTGGCGACGTGCGCGCTCCCGTCGTGCACCATCAACATGGCGCTCGCCGCCGGATCAGGTAAAAGACCCCGTAACGGAACAATGAGATCCCGCCGAGTTTAACAGCGAACAATTATAAGAGCCGTTCGGTGTTTCCCGGACGAGTTGCGGGTCACGGCGAGGAGGTTCGCCCCGGCCGAATGCGTCTTTCGTATTTCAATCAACAAGCTGTTTACGACGCTGGAGCCGCCAGCGAGAATGAATTGAAAGCAAAAGGGCATTAGCTCAATAGGCTACGTGCCATTTCAATCTCGCAAGAGCCGACCTGAGTGCTGACCAACACATTTAGACGGATTGGATTTGGTCTCGCCGAATAACGGACGACTAGCGCACGTATGTAACGGTACCCAGCACGATTGGAAGGAGCGTTTTTTTCGTAGCCGCGAATCCGGAGCGGAGCGCGGCGGTGGTTAGCCCGAAGGGCTCGCCTGTTAGCCACTCGGCGAAAATGCTCTTTGGCTAATTGGCGTTTTGAGCCGCGACCCTCGCCGCTCAGCATTTGGTTGCTGACTTGTTGAAGATCAGACGGAATGGCGAAGCAAATGGCGGGGTCGGAGACACGAAAGGGTACGTTGGAGCGCGGCAGGTGCGGTTTTGCGTCCGCCGCTCGGCGATTTGCATGCGAGCCGCACCGTCGCATCTCACCGCAGAGGCCAAATGATGCGGCACTCTCCGGCGCGGCGAGAGCTTCTCGGCTTCATTCACGCCACTCAATCATGACGCGAGGGTTGTCAGAAAAGGGGATCTAATTTGCGTGTTTGCTTGCGTTTTGAACCCTGGAGAACCCAGGGGGTCAAATTTACCCCCTATAAATTCTGCTATTCAAATGCTACCCTTAAATCCCAAAGGGTCAAATTTGGCCCTGATCCTAAATTACCATTTGAAAAAAAAAAACATACATTTTGGTGTTCAGTGAACATATAGCAGTCACATTTAATGTATAATTCATCATTTTCCAAAGAAGAAAAGGGTTGTTGGGCTCTCCAGGGTTAAACCACAAATCCAAACTCCGGGTTTTTGCCCGCCGCGGTGCGGCCCGGGCCATCGAGCGACCTCGTCCACAAAGAGATCCCGCCGGGTCTGGTTCCTTCAGTGCGCGAGAAGAGGTGAAAGTTGTGGCAAGACCACGCACCCGCTCACAATGCCCGGCCGGAGCTTTCGACACTCCCCGGCCGCCGCACCGCGGAGAAGACTTGTCCTTTGGAGTTCAAAAACGGTCTGAACTTTTGTGGCAACTTCTCTCGGACGCATTTCAAACGATCACCATGACCGTGAACTCGCCTCTGAAAGAGGTCAGCCAATCAGAAAACGGGCTCCCTGGGTAGCTGACAAAACGAAACCAATGTAAGATGTCACACAAAAACCATTCAGGCCATTATCTCTCCCCCCCCCCCTCAATGTCTGAGGAACTTTGTCAATTCAGAAATTCCTTCTACTTTTAGCAGTCTTTTTTTTTTTTGTACTCTGTAGTCAGACTTCTGCACGGCCTGCGAGTGCTTTTGCCACCTCACTTGTTTTTGTTGTGCTTACAGGAGTGAAAGTTCCTCGCAATTTCCGGCTCCTCGAAGAGCTGGAGGAAGGACAGAAAGGTGTGGGGGATGGCACTGTCAGCTGGGGTCTGGAAGATGACGAGGACATGACCTTAACGAGGTGGCGAGGAGTCATCCTCGGCCCCCCTCGAGTAAGTGCCGGCGACATTTTTGATGCACTTTTTCAACTGTCTTTGTTTGGTGTTATGAGTTATTTGTTTCTAATGTGCTTTGTTTCAGTTTAGATTTAGTATTCATTTTAGTTTTTTTTGTAATATAACGGAGTGTTTGTTGAGTGCAAGATTAAAAAAAAAAAGAAGGGGGGAGGGAGGTCCGGACAGGTATTCAACCTTCCTCGTTCTCTCCGGTCGTACAGTCACACAGATGTAAAAACATTTGAAATAAATCCCAAAAGCTCAGTGATGAAATTGATTGGCAAAGACGAAAGCGAATTTGCGGTACGCATTTAGTTTTATAAACGTAAAATGTAGTGTCAGTTTTGTTTTTTTAAACAGCCTTCTTGTTCTTTTATTTTCGTTTTTCTTGTCATTGGCGGCAGTAGAGAGGTCGTTTCCCAACCCCGAGGTTGGCGGTTCGATCCCCGGTCATCGCGACCATGGCAAAGTGCCCTTGAGCAAGATGCTGAACCCCCCCCGCTTGCCCCTGATGCGACGTCATCGGTCGGCGAATGACGTAGACGGTGTGAAGCGCTTTGAGTGGCCGAGGTAGACGAGCGCTCGGTAAGGGCCAGCCCGTTTCCCGTTGAAGACTCGAAGCCAGGGGGGCTCAATCTGCCGCGGACCGGTCCCAAGTCGACTTTATTTTTCCCTTTCGTTTATGGTCGGCGCCGTTCTGGCCGTGGCTCATCACGGCGTTGCGTGCGTTGAACGGGTCGATGGCGAGAGGTCGCTTGCTTGAAAAGTCGATCTTGGGTGCAAAAAGGTCGGGCACCCCGGCCGTGCGTAGTCTCCCATGTGGAAATCGAGCGTGAACGGTCGCTTGTCTCCACGTGCTCTGTGATTGGCCGGCGTCCGTTCCAGGGCTGGCCTTGCCCCTCGCCCAAAGTCGGCAGGGATAAGACCCCGGTTCCCCCGCCCGTGTCCCGAATGATGACAAAAGCGGTGTGAGATTGAGCACGCCCTTCATCTTTTTGGACCAGCGCTTTGTTGAAACGCTTTGCGTTGCTCTTGGACACGCACTCACCCAGCGACCTCTTCCGCAGACGAGCTACGAAAACAGGATGTACAATCTGAAGGTTGAATGCGGGCCGGGTTACCCGGAGTCGCCGCCCTTTGTCAGATTTGTGACCAAGATCAACCTGAACGGCGTGAACACCTCCAACGGCGTGGTACGTAAGCCTTTTCCGTCTCTCTCGCCTGTCGCTCGCCCATTCGCGTGCCCGGACCGGCGATTAGCCCCGCCCTCTTTTGGCTCCATCAAGTACACGGAGGGAGCGGCCCCGCCGACTCTTCTTGAACCACCGATCGCTTTCACGGAGAATGGTATCGAAACAAATGCTGAACATTTAGCGCCACTACGCCGAGAATGTCATTGTTCTTTGTAATGGATGGGACGTGGAGGATGAACCCGTTTTTGGTTCTTGAAGTAGGACTGTCCGAATTGTTGTTGTTGATGTTGTTTTTTGTTTTTTTTTTTAATTGAGGCTTTATTCCTTGGAAGCGGTTGGCTCTTCTTCTGCATTCTCATCAATGACCACGTGTCCCCTTCCGAAATAGCCTGATTTTATTTCACTTTGTGAGTTTGTAATCTTACTTTTTGTTTTGTTTTTGTGTGATATCACGTGACCCGAGAACAAAAACAGTTTGACGTGTGTGTGTGTGTGTGCAGAGCAGCACAGGCAGATGCGGCTGCTTTTCCAAATGAAACTTCTCACCGACGGATGATGAAAGCAGTTATCGGGGGGGGGACCTCTGCACTAAAGTGTCAAACGATGATTCGAAAATAGGAAGAATGGCAGCAGCGGACAGAAAATCTCCTTTCTGGTTTATTGGAGTTGTCTCCATCACAAATGGGTTGTGATTCACGTACCTCGTCGGCGGTGGCTTGAAAAGTCATTTTTTTTCAATGGCGCTTTGGCTTCATGCGGAACGAAGCTCGTTAAGGAAAAGAAAGTGAGCGGGATGCGGAAACGTTTTGCCAACATGGCTGACAGTCGGCGCAAGCCGCCACAATTGAAGAGGAGGCCAAATCGGGCCGCACGTCGCCATCCTCTCGGAATTTCAAGAGGGGCGCGTGGACGAACACGACACCTTTCGACACGTTTGATCGCAGTCCGAGGCCGAATGACAAAGTGGCGCCTCGCCGGTTGCGCTTGACCCGCCGACGAGTCGATCGCGTCGTTTGTCGGGGAACGGAGTCGGCTAACGAGCTGTTGGCTTTCGCGTCGGCCTTTCTGTCTTGTTGTGTGATTTTCGCAGGTGGACATGCACGCGGTGACCGCGTTGGCCAAGTGGCAGAACTCGTACAGTATCCGGACGGTGCTGCTGGAGCTGCGGCGGCTCATGACCTGCAAGGAGAACATGAAGCTTCCTCAGCCACCCGAGGGCCAGATCTATACCAACTGAGCTTCGTTTGTCTCCATCTTGTCCTCCTTCTTCCTGCCTCGGCTCACTTGCCGCCATTGCGTTCGCATTCCATTGGTTGAGAGAACACGCGCGACGCCGTCGAGCTCAAGCGTACAACAATGCAGACACATTGGTTATTATCCACACGCGTCATTGCGGCCGATTTTCCCTCTTCTCCCAACGCCGGATCTCTTGGTCGTGATCATTGGAATACTGTACATCCCCTTATTTTTGTTGTTGTTTTTGTTTGTTTCGTTCTTTTTAATAATTTGTGGAAAATAGCAGATTGTACAATAACATAAATAATCTTATGAAGTGTCCCTGTTTGTGTGTTGCCTTCTTGTAACAGAAACAAGTCGGAGATATCATGCGTGCGAACCGTCTGAAAACCCGATGGGTGACTTTTTTTTGAAGGCAGATGAGCTCACCCAACGTGAACGCTTGTCTGTACTGTCCTGTCCCGTCTGACCGAATGCCTGGCGTTCCGCTATAATCTGACCACATCTACTCGTTTAAGTGTGCAGACGTCAATCGTGCTTGAAATTAGAAAGGAATCGGCTCACTTGTGCAATTGTTTTGTCGCCTCTCCGTTTCACGGAATCACACTTGGCGGGCGGCGCCGTGGTTGAGGACTAGTGTTGTGCTTCATCTGCAATTCAGTTACTCTTCAAGCTTTATATGCCCAACGTCAAATAGAATGAGAACTGGGGAAATTGGGGCCTACGTGCGCCAAATCATATTTGTCAATGTCGACCGGCCCCGAACCCCAGGAAATCCCCATGGCCTACATGGCCCTGTCAAAAGCCATTCTGTCAGTTTGGTGCCATTTGATTGTTGTGACTAGAAATATTCATTTGAAAGTTCTTTTTTCTCAACTCTTTATATGATAGTACACACACACACACACACACACACACACACACACAAGATGTGGGCAGGCCCATGTCAGGGAACTTCATTTTAGGGGTTGGGGTGGGGGGTGGGGGTCATTGTTTTTGAAACAGGCGTGAGAACAAATGAGGGTCCTGTAAATGCAGGAGAAATGATTTGGACGGGACATCGGTGACTGCTCGTGAACGGATTATGCCGAATGGCGACACCGCACCACTTTACGGCAGCTTGTCTTGAAAACAAGCACGCGCGGCTGGTACTACGCCGTTCCTATACTGCCCCCTGCTGCCTAACTATGTACATACCCGTTCACATATTTTCAATCAATCCGGAAAATAAGATTAGCTTTCGCCAGATTAAGTATACCAAAATGTGACCCACATATTTTATGTGGGTCGCATTTTACTCATTTGGGTGACAGAACTAAACGTTTTTAAGCGTCGAGTTAGCAAATAGTACTGGACATGAAATCTAGCCAGATGGTATTTATGCGAATAGCATGTTGACACTAAGCAGTGCATTACAGTGATTCACCCACTTCCCCTAAAAAAAAAAAAAATAATAAAGTGTTTGAAAATAATTTCGGTAACAAGATTGATCTGTGACTGTGGCATGTTTTTTAGGCATTTCTATGCAGCGCTGCACATATATCGTCGGAGGTGAGATTATCACCGATTGATACGTGTAAATTGAGGGGTTCGTAGTTTTGTAGTGGATAGCTCTACTTTAAGAATGGGCAAAAGGAGAGATGGAATCCTTCGAAGGCAGCTTTTTTATTTTCCAACCTCAGCACCTCCGAACGAAACAAAGAGAACACACCTCTTTCCGGAAACACAAACACTTCCTGGTTTCCTTCAGCCAATCAGACAATGTCAACATAAACTTGTTGAAGCAATTATTAAACGGAATATAACCTAGGTAACTGTAACGCAAAAGAATATAATGCTCAAATATAAAATGAAAATAAGTAAGAATTTAACATAAGCTTACAATACGTACTACACATTTTATCTTGTGTATTATTAGCGAGCTGACCTCTAAAATGGGTGAAGCTCTTATCAGAGCTCCCGATTACATAAGATAAGATAACCTTTATTTGTCCCACATTGGAGAAATTTGCAGTCTACAGCAGCAAAATTGGGGGGTGGGTGGGGGGGGGTAGAGAAGAAAAAAAAAACAAAGTGTTTGCATGCACAAAATAAATGTTTCAGAAAACTGTACACAGTATAAATATAATTTGCATGTATGCATTTTATGCATACATAAGGTGGCTGTGCTATTTACAATGGTTACATGTCACCGATACAAGGAAATCGATTGCTCTGTCACAGTGACTCATGTCATCCTCAATAAGAGTCCAAGTGGAGACACGCCTTTCAGAGCGCAATGACAATGACGACGGCCGAGAAGATAAAGAAGAAGTGACTGACTACTTCCTGAAAGGTCATCAAAAAAAAAAAAATCACGAGTTAAGCTGTCTTGCTCATGGGTGAAACTGCAGGCTTCCACATCGGGCGTTAAAAACAACTGACGCACGCTTGAAGCCTCCCATCCACGGCCGGTCAGAGAGAGACACGGCCGCTTTCGTTATATTGAACAAACAACAAAAGAATGGCTTCACAACAAGCACATTTGTAGTCCACAACGGACGCCCAAAGGCACTCGACACGCAGACTAGCTCATGGTTAGCCACTTAACAGGCCCCTGAGGGGGCTGGCATTCACGGCAGCCCTCCCCCGCCATCAAGGGAACACATTGAAATGGGCAGCAACACGCTTTGCCCGCCAATAGGCTCGAAAACGCATGTCCAGCCGAAAAAGATTCCATCCACAAAGTCTCGAATCTTCCTTATGCTTCCATGTAAATATGTTTGAGCCACGCAAACGTATCCGCTTCAAGTCGCCGGTAGCCGGATTATATCTTGTGTCCTCAGTCCACATGCTGCCGAGTGTCAAGTGGGACTTTTTACCTCCGCCGCCACGCTTGCATTTTTCTCAGCATGATGTGCGCACACTCATGGTGGACAACACGGTGCTCTAAAGTGGCCACACCGTTGTAAACTCTCGCGCTGAAGCCAACAAAGATCTTCTCATCTCCGAATTCACTGAACGGGCTTTTTCAAGGTTCAAACGCACGTTGTCCACCTGAGAGGAAAAGTCAACAACCATTTGAAAAGTATCTTCTCAAAAAGATGACGTCGTTTATCAGGCCTCGAGACGAATAAGGACGCACCCAAAATGTCTGACTTGACCTAATTATGAGAGAGGCGACCTCTGTTATGCAGCGCTCACAGCTGGACTGGACTCTGACCCACCCGGGAACCACGTGATCCCAAGTAAACCACTTACTCACTCTCTCACGTCTTTGCGGGATGACACCACGCCGTCTCCGAGGCCTGCAGGGACGGCAGAGGCAACGTGTGAATATTTTGGGGACATGAGCGCAGCTTACCTGCTTTAGTCAGCGTGCGTTTCTGCGAGCGGCTCCATCATCGTGGCATCGGCGCGACGGGCGTACGAGCCGACGTTCTTGAACCCTCGGCGGGCCGAGCGGACGTCTCGATTGTCTTGGATTTTTTTTTTTCTGTCGACGGTCCGGACTTTCTATCGGGCTTCTGCGTCATGACCGCCGTCCGCTGAAATTGACGTCAAACGGCCTCACCGAGGCGGAATATCGTGCGTTTGGTTTCCGCCCTCCGGGCGTGACGGGCGGCCAGGCGGTTCTCGTCAGGCCAGGATGGCGCTGCGGGTCCACCTGCTGGCCTGCGCCTTCGGCCTGGGCTCCTGGGTGGCCGTCAACGGCCTGTGGGTGGAGCTGCCGCTGATCGTCAACGCCCTCCCCGAAGGCTGGGAGCTGCCCTCCTACCTGACCGTCCTCATCCAGATGGCCAACCTGGGGCCTTTGCTCATCACGCTCATGCACAAAGCCAGGCCGGGGCGCCTGAACGAGCGCGCCGTCATCCTCGCCCTCCTCTCCGTCGGCGTCCTGTCCTGCGTTCTGCTCACGTTCTTCTGGGACCGCACCAGCGTGGTGGCCGGCGCGCCGCGCAGCACCGCCTTCTTCGTCATCACCTTCTTCCTCTCGCTGGTGGACTGCACCTCCTCCGTCACCTTCCTGCCTTTCATGATGGCGCTCCCGGCCACGTACGTCACCACCTACTACATCGGCGAGGGGCTGAGCGGCTTCGTTCCCGGGGTGGTCGCTCTGGCCCAAGGCGTGGGCATGGCCAAGTGCGTCAATGCGACGCAGGGGACGGGAGGAAACCACACAAGTGGACACGATGGCTTCCTCCAGACCGAATATCTCCCCCCCAACTTCTCCACGGAGGTGTTCTTCTTCTTCCTGACGGCCATGATGTGCGTGAGTCTGGCCGCTTTCGTCGCACTCAGCAGGCTTCGTTTGCCCCCCGCTGAGAACCCGGCGGGGGGCTCGGGGGCCTCGGTCGGCCCCGGCCTGGACAACCCCGCGGCGGAGATTGACGGACGCGATTTGAAACGGCGGGACGAGGAGGGCGGCCGCGCGAGGCGTCCGCCCGCGGAGCCCAATGACTCCCGATACCGGCTGACCTTCATCTACTTCCTGGTGGTGTGGGTCAACGGCGCCACCAACGGCGTGCTCCCCTCCGTGCAGACGTACTCCTGCATGCCCTACGGCAACCTGGCCTATCACCTCTCGGCTGCTCTGGCTTCAGTGGCCAATCCGCTCGCTTGCACCGTTGCCATGTTCTTCCAAAACAGGTACCGTTGGAGCACTCGGACCTCTTCGCGTAAGAAGAAGGAGAGGCACTTGTGTCAAAAACAAAAAAAAAAAGACCGGTAAAAGGACAAGTACGGATTCAAGTGAAGGGTTGTGCGATAGCTCGTGGTGGAAAAATGTTCCGAGCGGCAAGGTAGAGAGGGCTCCGCAGTCTCCGTTCAGATGCGTGCGTTCCCCGCAACCTTTGACAACAAAGACGAAGTATGATCGGCACGGCGTGCGTCTCGCATGGACACGCTCGCCGCATCGTACTTTGCGGTGAAATTATTCAGTCGGCTCCTCGGTAGCGTTAGCAAAAACGGACTTCCTTTGCCTCGTGCAGCCACGTCCCGGGAGGTTGGCTCCGGTCCTGACTCCCATTGGTTGATTCACTTGGACAAAAGGGGCAGGCCAACAAAACACGATCAGTGAATTCAACCGAACACCAAGATGCCGCCCAAATCTTTTTTTTTTTGCCCTGTGCAGATCAACAAAACGGTGACGACAGGCATGTTTTTCTGTGAATAACGGGTGCGATTTTAAAAAAGTGTCAAACTGCAACTCTCCGTGGCTTGACTGCATTCAAATAAAAGAGCCACGTACGCCACCCTCGTACGTCACCCTCGAGGGGTCGAGTGGCTTTGATCCCTTTTGAAATACCATCACAACAAACGTGAGAAAAAACGATCAAGATCTGATTGCGAACCGAGTCGGTACTGTGCAAGAAACTGCTGTCATGACCTCACTTTTGTGAAAGTGGTCAAACGAAAGCTGAAAGGCTCCACTCGAGTCACATTGTGATCGCTGGAATCCAGCGCGACGCTATCTGCGGTGCTTTGGACAACTCGCCCAATGAGAACAACTCGGCGCGGTCCTGACCGTATTGTGCTTTCAGGTCTCTTCTGTTTCTGGGTGCGCTGGCGCTGTTGGGGACGGCCTTTGGCAGCTATAACATGGCCATGGCTGCCATGAGTCCCTGTCCTCTACTTCAGGGCTCCGTGGCGGGAGAAGTCGTCATTGTGAGTGACACGCACGCACGTTGCGTAAACGCAGCGAGACCTAACATCTGCGGGCAGCTTTATCCCGGAAATGCCAAAGTCCAGCTTCTGAACCAAACGGTTGAGCAATTGTGCTCACAGCTTGAGCGATGACTGCTTTTTACAGGAGGCCGTTGATGGAAAATTGTCCATACCGAGAGCTGATTATTTTATGATGATTATTATTATGATTATTGTCATTATTTGGGTAGGGGAGAACTGTCCCAAGTCGAATGCTGTCTATTTGACCTCCGCCAGGTCGTCTCGTGGCTCCTCTTCACTGGAACTCTGTCTTACGTCAAAGTGATGGTAGGAGTCATCCTGCGCGACCGAAGTCACAGCGCCCTCGTTTGGTGTGGCGCAGCAGCACAAGCCGGCTCGCTGGTGGGCTCTGTCGTCATGTTTCCGCTGGTCAACGTCCTGACGCTCTTCAAGGCGGGGGACTTCTGCAACACCAAATGTCCGCTATGACTGCTCCCATGTTGAGTTCAAGACTTGTTTGTGTCAAGTACGGCGAAATAAATAAAGGACGGAGTACCGCTGCGTTGATGGCCTTCCGGACCACTTGCAGGTCTCCCTTGGTCGCGCGGTGCATCATGGGTAAGGGACTCTCTTTGGCGACTAACTTTTCCTTTCGAGAACTATTGCGAAGGAGCGGACAAAACTGTGATTTTGGACCATTTCAACCGCCGGATTTATTATTATTTTAATCTATGTGGTTTGATTCTCTCTCTATTTCACGGACCGCCCTCTGCTGGGTCACGACAGTCAAGATTGATTATTATTATTCTTATTTTAATTGACATGCTGCATGTGTGCGGGGAGGTGGGGGGGCGTGTGTTCAACGCCGGGACATCAGGACGATACACGTAGGGCATTTGTGGTTATTTGCTCAGCCCAACACTCCCATCAAAATACAAACAGGCTGAATAAATGTGTTGTTTTGTTCACATGAAGTGATCCGAGTCAGAAAATCAATCGCCGATGTGACACGCTACAACGATAGTGAAACGTGGAAACGTTTCTCTCTTAAAAAGTGACAGTGGCGAGAAAAAAAGATATACAGGTACATGTATACTATATTTCTGTCGTGTCCCTCGTTAGTTTCGCTCTGTGGTGGCTTGCATACCGTACTTAGCTTCTGTGTGTTTCCTCTGGATTTCAAGATACAAAGTAAACGTTGATGTGAATAAATGTGTTCCAAGAAATTTCTCATTTGAGTCTGTCTTTTTCGTCCCTCGGGATCTTCTGTCGGCGAATTGTGACGAATGAACAGAGGTTCGCAAAGCTTTGTAATACAGTAGTATGTTTTCCCCCGACCAACGTTCAAATCTCTTAATTTCCATTTGAGCAGCGAAACATCGCAAAAAGTGCACCTGCTCTCTTGTCACATGAGGCTTAAAGACTTAAACGATGCCTACAAGCTTTTGCAGTTCAGCATACGCCCACGTACTGTCATACGAAGCGCTGGTTCTTTGGTAGCTTCTCCAAGTTTCGCCTCGTCTGTTTTTGTTGTATACTGAACGACCTTTGGTTTTCAGATGAAAATGTCAATATGAGGCATAAATTTAGATTTCCAGTTATAAACCTCGATGCGTTTAAACAACTCAGAACAGAGCACCTTTTGTGTGAAGGCAGGCCTTTTTCAAGTGAGAAGAAGTATTGGAACATGTGGCTGATGGGTAATTCGAGTTGCTCAGGTTTTGCCTTTTAGATTATTTGAACACTAGATAGCGCAAATGTACATTTTTAGGAGTGGGAGCGGCGGTGATGGATACACTCCTCTCCTCTGTACCGGAGTACCTCAGTTTCTCCAAATTTTTAATTTCCTTAAAAAAAAACAAATTTTGAGTGAAGAAACAACGCACATTGTTTTTTGTGTGTTCCAGCCACGTCTAACGGTTTCAACACAAAGTGCATGAAAATCTAGATGGAGAGAAAATCTTTTCAGTGAGTTTGATTTCGAGACTCCCTGTCCAAGATGGCGGTCTCTCTGCGCGTCTCCTCTTGAGTCTTGGCGACCGCACAAGAAACGTCATCAAAACGCGTCGATTATACTCGTGCGCCACAACGTCGACGGAACAGCTTCGAATGGCCATATCTTACCGACGAAGGTCTTGAAATGCCTATGAAAGGAAGTTTCCCGATCAGGAGGACGTTGCAGTATCTCCAGAAAGGCGACATCATCTTCAAAAGCCGAGTGAAGATCATGACGGTCAATTACAACACGCACGGAGAGCTCAGCGACGGAGCAAGGTCAGCGAGAACGCGACTAGCGAAGAGGAAAGAAAGCACGGTTTCACTGACATGTGGATATCCACACTTTTTATGTTGTTGTTGCTCCACAGGAAATTTGTGTTCTTCAATATTCCCCAGATTCAGTACAAAAACCCGTGGGTCCAAATAATGATGTTCAAAAACATGACCCCGTCGCCCTTCTTGAGATTTTACCTGGGTTAGTAGTCTTGTGTCTCATGTCTGCAATTTAGTGCTGTATTTTATTCTTTCCCGACATATTTAGCCAAGTAACATACCCATTGGCCTTTGCAAAAATCTTGCAGCTCTCCACCAAGCCAAAGTGTCAAAAAAATATCGATGCACATATTATTTGCTATCTAGTGGAAGAGAAAAATCATTGTTCTGACTTGGACTGCACGTGTCTCCCAAAAATACATCATTTGCGGTCAATACATGTGGAAAATGAAACATTGGAGTGAAGTGATGATCTTTCACGGTACAGTGCCTGAAAAAAAAAACTTTATTTTCAACGAGAGTCGAGCTGATTGGTGCCTTTGGTCTAGATGATGGCGAACAGGTGCTGGTGGATGTGGAAGGCAAGGACCACACCGACATCGCGAAACACATCAGGACTATTTTGGGCAAATCCCAGTAAGTAGCATTGAAGCAAAAACGCCTTGACATCACACAACTCCGGACGCGCACGGCCGCCGGGTTGGTTGATTTCTCCAATTTAGAATCGGGGTGAGAAGACTGAATAATTGTGAAGGTAAAGACGAAGGCTGTGCTCTCAAAGGATGTAATTGCAATTTATATCATGAAACCCTGACTATGGATGGTTTCACAAACAATGACTTCTCGGGCGCTTAGGGTGGCCACTCTTTGCCGCCGCTTTCAAAGTTTCGCCTGAGTCTGTCAGCTGTTTGGCCCTCATCTGAGCACCTTGGAGCAAAATGGAAAACGGAGAACACGGACCGCCGAGGGAGCAGAAACGGAGGAGGTGCCGTAGAAACCGGAGGCCTGTTTGAATTTCGATTTGGATTGCAATTACGTCCCTTGAGAGCAGAGTGCACAACTCAAGCCTTTTGCTTCGTCGAGATCAAAACGTATTTGTCTTTGGTGCGTGTCGATTAACCCGTTGCATTGACATCTCTGCACTTTCGATCGCACGAGTTGTCATGCGCGTGCTCTTTTGTCATTTGTGACCTTGGCTTGTTTGGCCCCCCAGGACGGTGTTGGAGGGAGAAGCGCAAGCGAAGATGCAGGCGTCCAACCCCGCCAACTTCGGCCCAAAAAAGTACTGCCTGCGAGAGTGCATCTGTGAGGTGGACGGTCAGTTGCCCTGTCCCGGCACCACGCCGCTGCCCAAAGAGATGACGGGCAAGTATCGCGCCCGAATGAAAGCGGAACAGGAGTGAGCGGCGGACAAGAAAAGCAGACTTTTTATTTTTTTTTTTGCCCGTCGCAAATTCACGAGGAGCTTCGTCCGGCGACGCTTGTCGTTGGCGTTGAAGAACCTGGAAAGATGCGAGGATAGGCGACGCGTCTGGCCCTCTTCTTGCCGCGCCGTTGAAACCGGACTTCCAACAGAGCGTGAATCCAAAGTGTCACCAAAGATCTATTTCAAACCCGGAACTTTTCCCACACGGCCCGTACAAGCGAGCGGACTCAACGTTCACCCAGCAAAATGAAATCAGACTTGATAACTTGTTTACTTGTGCTCGCATGTTAATAAACAGTCCAAACTGTTGCCATTCTGCAGTCAATCAAACACCAAAACCCTACGCAAGTGAAGAGGCTTGTCAGTTATTCACGTGGCTATCAAACATTGAGCGACACTGAGTACTAATACTTGCCGGCATTCGTTTGCCGTGCGCGCGCGTGGCAGACGTGAAAAGCGGCCAAAGTGCAGGTGTCCTCGCGCGCCGATGCTGAGCTGAAACGACGCCACCGGTGAACATCGCACGCAGCCGACACTGGGACATAGAAAGACACCCGTCGGTCCATGAGTCAAGACCAGTGTAAGGTGTCTTGGGGGGGGGGAGGGGTTTCCATTGAACTTCAAATTTGCTGCATCGAGTCAGTGCTTCGCTTTTGATTTTTTTTTTTTTTTTTTTACATTTTGAAAATAACCGCAAGCAACCAACGTGGATCCCGAAAGCTAATGAGGCGAGTTTGCCGGCACGATGGACTTTTTGGGGTTGATTTCACATTTTACGAGTATGTGACGGACTTTCACTTTGCAACGCGATTCCGGCAGCAAGCTGTGCCCTGTTTATTCTTTTTTTGTAAATAGACAAGATTTAAAAAGATCATGAAAATAAAACTTGAGCGGATCAAATAACTTTGGGACACCAGCGGCTCAGTTGGTAGAGCGGGTAGAGGAACCCTATTTGATGATATTTCTTGTCATCCCGGCACGCGTTTCCCGCTCGTGATATTGAGCCCAATTATCCAATTAAAATGCGGAGCGATGCGTCATCTTGCTTCTGCCACCTGGCAGGGCAGACGCGTGTTGTTTCGGGTAAACATTCTTTTCCTCTTTCTAACGGCGCGGCTTCAAATGTGCAAATAAGTGGAATATCGAGGCGTCATCTAAGAAGAAAAGCGCCTCGAGGAGGGACGCGCCTCGAGGCGTGGCAAGTGGTTGATCATGTGGCGAAGCCGTCAGAGCGTTTCTGTCCGCCTCTTTTTTCCCTCACGAGCAAGACAACTCGAGCGCACCACCGGTGGAACCGCGGCGGCTTCCCGGTCACGTCTTTTCACAAATGACGACGGCTGCGTCGGGCTTACGAGCGCCGGCTGGAGTCTGGAGGGGAGCGGTCACGAGCGGCGGCGATTCCAAAGCGGGCTTTCGAGTCGTTCCACGAGCGTGCTGACGTGTGTTGGTGGTGAGGCCGGACGCGAAGGGTCCGGCGCGTGGCGGCTCGCTCACCGGACTGGCCGCCCGCTTCACTGCTTGTTTCTCTTCTGCTCCTGTAGGGCGCGCTGGAGCTCTCGCAGGTTCTCCGCCAGCAGCTCCACTTCGTCGTGCCGACCGCTGAGCTTGGCGTCAAAAATGTAGGCCCGGATGTTGTCGATCTGCTGCAGCAGCAGCTCTTCCTCGATCGAGTCCACGTTGTCAGCGTCGTCGCGGTCGAAAGGATTGGTGGAGGAGCCGGCATTGCAATCGGCCGCAAAGGGGTCGGTGCCCTCCGTGTTGTCGTTGTCGCTGTCGTCCTCCTCAAAGGGGTTGCCGGGAACGCGGTCGGCCCGTGCGTCCTCCTCGTTTTCGTCCTCGTCAAAAGGGTTGTATTCTTTCTTTCCGTTGGTCACTTTCCCGTGCTCCCTCCTGATGTCCTCGCAAAAGGGATTGGACGGATCCTCCTCGATGGGCGTGGAGCCCTCTTGGCGGAAAGGGTCTTCGCATCCGTCTCGGCTCGGCGGCGTCACCCGGCCGCCTGAGCTCCCGCGCCTCGGCGGGGACTCGTCGTTCCGCTCCGCAACGGAGCTTTCATCTTTCGGCTCGAAATCTCGAGCGGCGCCTCCGGCAAGGACGAGGTCGAACGGGGCCCGGCTCTCCTCCCTCTCCCGGGCCTCCAGGCGGCGCAGCTCTTCCCGCCGCGCGTCCTCCTCGTCGGCCAGCTTGCGCGAGAGCGCGACGGCCAGGCCGGTCTGCTGCCGCTCGTATTCGTCCTGCAGCTGCCGCAGGTTCTCCTCCAGCACGGCCACCTCGTCCGCCCTGCGGGCCTCGCGCGCCTGCCGCAGGAAGGAGCGGATGTTGTCGATCTGCTGCAGGAGGGGGTCGTCCGACGCGCCGCGCGCGTGGCCCGGCTCGGAGGAGGGCAACCAGCCGCCGACTTTGGTCAGGCGGGGGGCCTGCGGGATCTCTCCGTTGCTGTCGGCGGGAGGGCGGTTCTTCTCCGACTCCTGCCTTCCCTTCAGGACCTCCTGGGCGGCCTGCGAAGCAGGAAATGGCAAACTCAACGACGACAAGTACTCATTTATTTAAAAAAAAAAAAAGCCGCGTGGTTGCGGCATCTGACCAGTCTCTCTTGTTGGAGTCTCCTCTCTTGTTCCTGTTTTCTCTTTTCTTTCAGCTCTTCATATTTCTGCTTGGTCGGTAAGGACATGAGCCCAAGCAGCTTCTCCTACGACCAAAACGAGGCACGGGCTTGAATTTGATGGACGAACACCTCCGGATTTGTGCATCTTGTTTTGAGCCGCAATTTGATTGGCAATCCGCTCATTTAAAAAAAAAAAATGCAACTTTATTCTTAGCAGACGATGCCTTTGACAAAACTAGCGTACGTCTTTGGTCCTAAAAAGAAAACTGAATCTTCTCATCGGCTTCCCCATTTTATCCCCCATTGAAAATTTGGGGGCCGGCATTCACCTGGACAAAGAGCGTGGCCGAATAGCGCACCATCCTCTGCAGCTGCAGCACCTTCGGACGCGGCTGCGGCTCGTCTTTCATTCCCAACGTCAGAATCTTCTTGCTGTGAAAAAAAAAAAACGGGGATGGCGTCCGTACCGGAGAAGGCCGTCCCTTTTCAAAGGGAGGACGGCAAACTTACCTCAGAGCGTCGATTAATTCGTAGTATTTCTGCACCTCCAGTCGAAGTCCCCCCGCTGTCTCCAGATTGTACGTGGTCTCGCCGGCGCTGAGGAAAGAAGGCGGGGGCTCGTCGGTCACGTGGCAGGCTCGCGACATTTGATGGCGAAAACGCCGACGGGACTTACTTAAGCGACTCGGCCATTCGGATGTATTCCGGGGCCTTCTCGTCCACCTTCTCCATGCACATCCTCAGCCGCTAACGGGAAGACAACAGAGTTGCGTGACGGGGGGAGGAGCCGGGGACCCTTTGCGAGGGCCACCCGAAGGTCAAGTCAACTTATTTTGGGGTCACGTTTCAATCCGTATGTCCGCGGACGCGCGGCGCTTCCCCCAGCGGCCGCGGACGGAGAGCAGCTCCTTCGCAAAAGCGCCGACGGCGTTGACGAGGCGGCCATCCGAAAGCCACTTTTGCGACCCCGTCTCGCGACTCATTTGGATGCCCGCAAAGAAACGGACAAGCTGAGCCGAAGCCTTTTGGTCCTTGAAAGCTCGGCCCCGGGAGCCGGCGGACACGCGGCGACCGTTTCACTCACCTGGTAAAGCTTGACTATGTCGGGCACAAAGTCTTTCTCGTCCATCTTGCGCTCCCTCTTCAACAGCGTTTCCGTACAGTGACAACAGCAGCGGATCTTGTCGTCGTCTTTGTCGTCCAGCACGGACGTGACGCTGCTCAGGCTGCTCAGGCTGCCTCTGCGGGAGCCCGCGGCGCCGGGCGAGCGGCATTGGCCGCGGCCCCCGGGCACACTCAGGGCCTCGCGTGTCCCGCTGATCAGCTTTTCTGTCGGTTCACAAAGAAAAAAGGAGAACCGACGGCACGCTAGACATCCGCCGCGCATCGTCTGATGAGCGGAGGCTCGCCCAATCGGGTGAATTGCCACCGTTGGAAACTTTCCACGGCCACTGACAACGTCGAAGGCCGACTCTTGGCAAAGGTCAACTGGAGGACGTCAAGAGCCCAAAAAAGGCCTCAAGTGGTTTTGCACAGACGCAGAGGCCAGACTTGAGAAGCTTGTGGGAAGATGAAACGGCTTTTTTTTTTTTTTTGGGGGTGGGGGGGGGGCAATTGAGATGGATGGAGATTGCTGGGCACTTTTCATTCTCACTGGGACTTTGAGAGTATTTTTGGATGAGGGGTGCCTTTTTCTTCAATTTCAGGGAATTGGGTCGGGTGGATTGTATTCTTTTTTTTGAGTAGTTTATTTTTTTTTTCTCTTCAGTTTTATTTCTGAATAAATCCGCTGCGAATGTCATGCTTTTTACAGGGGACGTCTCCTGACAATATGCATCAAACGATACACATTTCTACATACCTCTAAAAAAAACTTCTCATAGTACATTAAGAGTCTTGATTTATTTGCCATCTTCTCACGGGGATCATGTCGCAGCGAGCGGAGAGCGCGGGTCGCGTCGGCGTGACCTCGGCGTCCATACGTACGAGCGAGAGGCAAGGCGACAAAGTCCATGCACTTCCGGCACATGATGGAGCCGCAGAGACGACAGTGGTGCCGCCGGTTGCGGATGTTGAACTTGCTCCCGCAGTCCGGACAGAAGGGGACGTCCGAGTCGTTCACCCAGGACACGACCGACTTCTCGATGGCTGTAAAGTAGCGCGTTTGAAATGAAGCCGCGCGAGCGTTCCGACGCGCGAGGCGCCCCGTCGCTCGGCACCGACCTCGGATTTTGGACGGGTCCGAATTGGTCCTGTCGAAAGACGTCAGCTGCAAGGACATTTGTCTTTTTCAGCGCCAATGAGGACGACGGCGGCGCCGGGAAGTGTTTCGCCACGCGCGGAGCGCACCTTTTCCAGCCTGATGATGAGCTTGTTCACCTCGATGACGTAGTGGTCGATCCTGGCGGCGCGTTGCTTCTTGAACGAGTCCAAGTGGCTTCTCGTGGCTCCTGCAAGACACAGTTTGGGAGCGTCTGCGCAGATTTCCTGTCGACGGTGGTCAGCGAGCGCGCGTGCGCTGTCGTCCTCTTACCCAGCTCCTGAGGCTCCCACATGTACGGGTCCACCCCGCCGTAGTAGAAGGACTCATAAGTGCCAGCGTCACCCCGGTCGTCTCCATCCCTTTTCCACAGCTTGTCTGTGGCTTTCTTTGCCTTCTGGACCAAACCTACGCACGCGCGGACACATTGGTCAATCTCCCGCCGCTGCGAGGAAGAATCAGCTATTTTGAATGGCGCTCATCCTCATGAGGTTGAAGCGAGAAGGAGGTCGCCGGCCGATTGCGGCGTACGCGGACACAAACGCTCCTTTGCGCTCACCCGACTGAGGACAACTTGAGAGAAGGAAGATGCTGCTTTCTATCACACCGGTCAACACATTTTCACTATTTTTCTTTTCTTTTTTTTTAATCACAGATTCAAGTACACTTTTTTTTTCTCTGCAACACGTTTGGAGAATAATTGAAATTAAATATTGTACTATACAGAGAAATGATCTATGAATTCGGCCCCGGCTCAGCATTAGGTGCATTTTTTTTCCCTGCAACGTGATAACTACAAAGTACAACACATGAAAAAATTGCGCATGGGTTTTATAGGTCAAACTTTAAAAAAAATAAATAAAAAAAAAATATATATATATCAAAAATCTGATGTGCTGGAGCAAAACAAAAAAACAAAACAAATGGAAGACATTTTTGATATCAGCGTCAAAAGTACGTGAAGCCATCTCTGACTAAAATTTGCTGTTGACCGACATTCAGCAATTCACACTTCGATTGCCACACTTTTTGTTTTCCCAGAAAAGGCACTTGAGCATGAGGACAACACGAAAAGTCCAAACTGGAACATCAGAGCTTGATTTGACCCCCGACCTACTTTTCAGTTGTCCTCGAACGTGGTGGCGCTCCTCCCCGGAATGCTCGTCTTCGTAGTGCTCTTGGAGTTGGTAGAAGGACTGCAGGTCCTTGAGGCAAAGCGGGCAAAGGAAGCCCTCCTTGACCTCGCCCGCCGCCTCCTCAAAAGGGCTCGGATAGAAGCTAGCAGCCATGATGGGAGGGAACCTTCTCCGATCCTCGTGTCACACGACCGGCGGGAGGAAAGCGGCCCATGTTTGTTCCTCCTTCAGCCTGCCGTTCAAGCAAAACGCCAAGATTAGTGTGTACAATTGTTTTTGGGGTTTTTTTGTGCTCCCACTGGCCGTGTTGTGTTATCAGTTTCTGTATTAGCATCTATTCTTTCGGTGGCCGCCATAGAGTTTCCAAGACTCACGTCTTTCACCGAGTAAAGCCTTTCCCGTTGCCGCTCCGTCTCTTCGGAAGGGACGTTGGGCATCGCCGCCCATCCGTCAAATAGGTCATTTTTCTTCTTTGGCTTGGAACTCAGCATGAGACTTGAGTTGGACTGCTTTTGTGCTTTCGCCGCCCATCCGTCAAATAGGTCATTTTTCTTCTTTGGCTTGGGACTCAGCATGAGACTTGATTTTGAGTTGGACTGCTTTTGTGCTTTCTATTGTCATTGATGTTTTATGGTTTGTTGTTGAAGGAATGATTTTTGCTCCATGTACAGCACTTTGCATACAGTGCCGATTGTTTTCAAGTGCTCGTGAAATACACCTGAGTGGAGTTGAGACATAGTGTCGAACACTACGATGGGAACAGCGAGTACACCACTCTATTCGTGTTCATTATGAAATGACTCGTTCTGGCAAAGGTGGTTGGATCATTTGTTGTTTCCAATAACTGCCTTATTGGGATGAAAACCACGTCTTGAGTCCCAGCTTTTATTTTGTGTCAGCGAAAAACAATTGCGCCCCTTTTACGAAATCCAAAATGACTGACTTTGACAGGTTTTCAACCAACCGAAGCAACCCCGGGATCACCGGAAAGCTTATTTCATGCCCTTTCGGGACACATTACTTCTTTTAGCGCGTATCCATTTTCCAAAATCATGCTAATAGACCGTCTGGAAACAACCCAGCGACGAAATCCGGGGACAGGTTTTCAACCAACCGAAGCAACCCCGGGATCACCGGAAAGCTTATTTCATGCCCTTTCGGGACACATTACTTCTTTTAGCGCGTATCCATTTTCCAAAATCATGCTAATAGAGACCGTCTGGAAACAACCCAGCGACGAAATTCGGGTAGTGATTTCACTCGAGCGCAAGCAAAGCCGCGTTCCCCAAAGGCAAAGAGACACGGCTGCCTTGTGAATTCGTTGAAACGTCGGCGAAGTCGGTCCAGTGGCTGCAGCAAGGTTAGCTTGACGATGCTAAGTGCGGCTCTCGCCATCTTCGCTCTTTCTCCGTCGCAGAAGAAAAACCCGAACGGCGTCGAACAGCCTCGCGAAGCAAACGTGCTGTTTCCTACTTACGTTTGAAGTGGACGAGAAGCGTTTGACAGCCGGACGACATCAGCCGGCCTGGAGCGAGCCTTCAGCCTGACTGGTCATGTGACAAACAGGTCAGGAGGTCAGTACGGAAAGGCGGCAGGGACAAACCGTTCAAATGCGGTGGGACGGTCGCGTTCAAGTTGCTCTGTTTGGTGGCGAACACTCGACACAACTGTGCCATGTGACTGGTGAATACGTTGACATGGGAACGGTGAATGCATACGTCATTGTTAGCGATATGCTTTTGGCGGTATTTCACACTTATTTGAAACCGTAACTGAAAATGGAACATACTGTATACCCGTGGCTGTTTTTAGCATGATAACAAGTAAAGCATTCGAAGAAACGTTCGCGTTGACATGGGAACGGTGAATGCATACGTCATTGTAAGCAATATGCTTTTGGCGGTATTTCAAACTTATTTGAAACTGTAACTGAAAATGGAACATACTGTATACCCGTGGCTGTTTTTAGCATGATAACAAGTAAAGCATTCGAGGAAACGTTCGTTTATTTGAATGTCCGTCGAGCCACTGGAGCGCTAATGAGAGAGAAGCGCTCCAGTTAGCGTTAAGGTTTTTAGTCTTCGAGAGCTAACTATGGCCATCGAGGACTACGAAGCGTCCCGTGGGTGTTTTTAGCATGATAACAAGTAAAGCATTCGAGGAAACGTTCGTTTATTTGAATGTCCGTCGAGCCATAAGCAATTTACTCTGAGCAGCTAATCGGAAGCTACTGATCTAGCTTCAGTATCTACGCACATAGACAGTGAGGTCCCTCTTGGCCAATCGGAGGCCAGGATGATGCTCGGTAAGCCAATGGCAGAGCAACTATGAGTATGTTGAGTCCAGCAAACTCGCAGCTGTGACCGAAATAAACATCGTTCACTCTGTAAACCAGTGTGGTGGTTGCTGTTGCCTTTTTTCGAACGAAGCAGTAGAGGTCGCTGTTGGATAAGACTTCGTTGTAGTGAATGTCTTCGCGAGGCTGGAGCAGAGAAAATGATTTCGTATAACGCAACAGGGGGGTTTTCGTCGTATGGGGGGCAGGAGAATGGGAATTATGTTAATGCATGAAGATTTTTTCACATAAGGGGGTATTTTCGCCCATGTAGGTTTCGTTCTAGAGGAGTTTCACTGTATATTGTATTGTAATCATCTGCAAAACGGATTTCCCTCAGTGACAGACTGAGAGTTCTGTCGTTATTTGACATGGAATTACTCTGACAGCCAAAAACCCACTTCTGTCAGGGCTGTCGTGTGGTTTTTTTTTGATTTTTTTATTTAATAGTTTCCTGTCATTCATGAATCGTCAGCAAAATAGGCATCTGTCATTGACGAACTGAAAAACCTTCCATCAGTACTGACGGAATGCCCACCTCTGCTTTTCTTTTTGCAACATTTGAGTTTGGTTGCGTGTTCCGGTGGGTCATATTGCAACTGAAAAGAATGATGCCATTCGTGGCGATGGGGCCTGCCTCCAACTCGGAGCTGAAATCGTCGCCTTTTCCACACCAACGCGGGCCAATCAGACAAACTGAACCTTGTTGCATGAACTGACGTAAACCTTCTTGGATGAGAGGCGAGAAGACTTCCAAGACAACCGGGGCAATCCACCTGAGATCTATTAAATGCTCTGAAAAAGAAATGACCTGGATGAATGCGAATATCTACAAGCATGTAGTGTGTTGTGAGATTTTTATTTATGCAAAAAAGCTATATCCCCACACAGATCCCCTCAGGCGGATCACCTGTCAACCGCAGGTGGTTGAATAATGATGCTCCCTGACTGTATGGTCCTTAATTGTCCCCCGTTTTAAAGAGTTGAATATACTGTACTATTGCGAGGGGAGTCATCACTTTCACGCACGGGTTCAATTCTGTGGTGGCACAGACCCCTCCAAAAATCTGCAAAAGCACATTTGTGGACTCCCATCTTTTAAGATGCTCATTGAATGAAATCTGGAGTTGTTGACATCGCGTATGATGGACAGCAAGCAGAATTGGAAGCATTTGACTTTGTAAAGATGTCGTGTGCGACAGCATGACTCGAAATCTGCTCAACTTCAGCATTGCAGACTTGTGAAACGCGTGCGCGGTGTGCCGTCGGACGGCTCCGCTCCTCAACGCGTCGCTTACTTGGGGAGCGCTTGAGCCGTCGTCGCCGCTCCTCGTGCTCAGGCGGCTTGACGTGAGGTGACAGACAGCCTTTCCGTGTGCCCGGAGAACGCCACGCAGCGATGGATGCGGAGGGGAAGGTGAGACGACGACTTTGCGCAGCGCCGACAAGCGGGCGCTTTCTGCATTGCGCGCGTTTCTTAGTGTACGTCGAATTCGCCTTCAAACGCGTCGCCAATGCAGTTCAAATAAACTCGGACAAACGATATTTGCGTTCCATTTATTATTGTGGACGCCAATCGCAAAGAATTCCATGGCCGAACTTTGGCTGTGGCTGCCGACCGCACTTTCACTGCATCTGTTGCGATGCGTCACACGCAGCGGCTATTAGCTTCTAAAAAATCGACCAAAGCAGTCACACCCTTGCAATTACAGTCATACCTTGGTTTTCGACCATAATCCATTCCAGAAGGCTGTTCGAAAACCGATGTGTTTGAAAACCGAAACCACGCTCTTTAAAAATAAATAAATAAATCTTTATTGAACACATCTGCTCACAATGGAACACTACACGAGGAAGCGTCACTTCCTCGTCACTTCCTTGCGTAAGGAAGCCGGGAGGAGTCAAGTGGTGCATTCAAGTGCGTTCAGTTTGGTCGTGAAAAGATTTTGGGTTGTCACCCGAGGCATAAAAATTTCGAAATTAGTGGTCGAGAACAGAGACGTTCGAAAACTGAGGTTTGACTGTAATTATCACGCCCCCACCAGGGACCCCTCAATGCACTCGACGTATATTTACGCGCGGGCTCTCCAAAGAAACCAACCAAATGAACTCCGCGAAAGAGTGAAGCGACACCAGAGGTAAAGTGGTGGATTTGTTTCTTTTCTACTTCCTTTTAATAATGACTGATCGCGACGTAGGCTACGCGTTGTTTAGTTGACAAGACAGCATATGGAAGGAATGATTCTACTGTTCCTCCTCGGGAGCAAACCTTTTGCCCGGGTGCTGTCTCTTCTCCTCGCCACGCTTCACGTCGCTGATGTCGTCTAAAAAATGGAGCAGCAGGTCGGTCTTGGCACATCGCGCGGGGTCCCAGAGGTCTTCGCAAGGACTGGTCGTGGCCGATCCGGGACGATCCCAAAAGCGTTTGCCGGGATGCTGGCGCCTGTGCAACTCGGGGAGGCGATGATGCTCCTCCTCCTCCTCCTCCTCTTCCCCCTCTTCTTCCTCCTCCTCCTCCTCCCCCCGGTCCGGTTGCCGCTTCCCGGGGTGCTGCCGCCGGCTCCGCGTCACCACCGCGTAGCGTTTGCCTGGGTGCTGCCGCTTGGAAAGTTCGCCTTGCACGACCGTGGCGAGGGGGCGTCCCGTCGCGGCGCGCTTTCCCGGGTGCTGCCTCCTTTCCACGTCCGAATACTCTTCGTCGGCCTCTTCGGCCCCGTCCTCGGTGCGCCTCTTGCCGGGATGCTGGCGCTTTGCCACCCAAGCCGCCTGAGCGGAGAGTCCTCCTGGGGGGAGGGAAATGGGACTTACTTTTTGCTCACGCTGCCAAAACCGAGGGTCGCATATGCGCGTCATTCGCCATTTCACAAGGGGGGGCACTGGGGATCATTTCAAAGTTGGAATGCAAATGTGCAAATGGAAAACGGGAAGATAACTTTTACCAAAGCAAACAAACAATGTGACTTTCGATGGAAGTCTCATCCATCTGAGATTGTCAGTATAAATTCTTATGACAACGGGACACACATTTAGAGCTTTTTTTTTTTTATCCTCCTAGATTGCGCCTTATTGCCTGCTCACCGCTCTTGTCGTCTTCCGCTTGCATCTTCCTCAGGATGGAGCGCAGCAGGAGGCTCTCGGCTCTGCGTAGGAGGAGGTCTTCCGTGGTCCTCGGGTCCGGCTCCTCCTCGGAAGAGATGCTCTGCGCCCCTCCGCGCGCCGTCATCAAGTTGCAGACCAGAACGGAAGCCAGGAAGAGCAGGCGCGTCGACTTCATGACGTCTCACTTAAAAGCCTGCGGAGAGTGGAAACTTTCAAAAAAAGGACCTTCCGCTGGGCGAGAGGGAGAAATGTCACTGTCCAGAAATGCGCCGTTCCCTCTTTTGGGGAGAGGAAGCTCACCTGAAGCTCACCTCCGTCCTCTTGAAGTGGCGATCTGGGGTATCCCGGTGTTTGCGCGCCACCTCCAACGGTGCTGCTGGCTGAGCCGTCACGGGCAAATTGGTGTGGGCACACAAGAGTGCGTCTCGGCTTTTATAGCGAGATGCTCTCTGTCGACGTCACGCTCACGCTCGTCTTCTTTTGTCTTCTGCCTTCTTTGCCCCCCCCCTGACCCCCACCCCCTGTTGATGTCATCGAGTCGTGCGCAAGTGTCCTGGAGGGAGCATCGACGCGTTTGAATAATCGGGCAGTCAACCTGAGGTGTCATTCGGACAAGCACCCATTGATGCGGCGCTCGTTGAAATACGTGGGCAAATTCCAAATGGCCTTGGCGGTTCTTTGGCGGCGACTCAATGCTACAGTTGTTTCTTTCTCTGGTTATCAGGAGGCAAATGATTGGCTGACTGAAATCAGACAGCCCCCCTGACCCCCACAAAATAAATAAAATAAAAACATAAATAACACCCACAGAGCCATTTTCCTTTCACGGTTGATTGGTGGCGTGCCGTAACCGACCGGCCGGCATATCCGAGCCACGGAGGTGGCGGCTGAAGCCAAATGTCAAATGAATCAACAGCCATCTTGACAATGGATTCATCACGCCGAGCCGCCGTTTACCTTCAAATTCTCTATTTTGCCGCCTCACAAAATTACCTTTTCAATGCTTTCAGTTGTCCTCCATGAAATCGTTTGTTCGTGATCAAAAGCATCCATCCATCCATTGGTCTGAGATTCTGGATCGGAACCTGGCCTCAAGCCTTTCACCTCTTGCTTCCGCGGCGTTTGCATGTTGTCCCCGCGCTCATGTGGCTTTTTCTGCTGCCACCGTCCAGAAACATGCACGCAAGGTGAAGTGAAGACTCGAAATTGGCCGTAGGTGTGAATAGGAGTGTGAGCGGCTGTTTGGCGCGCTCCACCTCTTGCCCCAAACTCCATCATAACAAGGACGGACGCCGTCGGAAGCGGAAGGACGGTCGATCCCGGCGGCAGCCTTTTTTCCCGCAAGTCAGGGAAGCTTTTAAGAAAGCGATCGATACGGTCTGCCCAAAAGCTCAGTGGGAGTGGAGGGAAGTCCCAAATAGTCCAAAGTTTGATCACGTGACATGCCGCTCAAAAAAAGAGACCACAACGACGACGACGACGACACCAACGTTTATCGATGGATTCTTTTGGAGCACAACAGGTAGCCATGCGGAATATTGGGCCAAGCGTTCATGTGAATTATAAATGAACCTTCATGTATGATTGGAGAGAGAAGATTACACCCCCATTTCGAAGTTGCGCCGCCCCCGACGCCTCTGACAATTTAATAACAGAAAGTACCCTCGTCATGTTCGTGCCGGTGCAAAGGTCTCCTTCAGCGAGTTTGTGAATATGGTAGATGCGTTATGCCTCACTGGGCACCCCGGGTGCATCTGCAAATTTGCTTGGACAAAGTAGACTGGATTTTAGACCCAGTAAAAGCAGGTCCAACTCGAGGGGCAGGTGGCGTAACCCACAATTTCATCAATGACGTGTGGTGGATGTCAGTGGATTTCATCAAGAGAACACGCCAGCGTGGGGCAATCTCTGACTCATTGTAGAACTCAATTCAGTGAACAAATTATAATCATGATCATCCTTGACATATTTTAAGAACACCTTTGTCACTATTGAGAAGGGGCGGGAGGGAGGGGGGGGTGGGAGACACGCAAGATCCGCGGTGCACGGCAATCCCCCAATTGCTCATGTGACGTGCACGGCCGACGACATCAGCCTTTCAAGGCTCCGACCAGCCCTGTTCGGTGCAGAGCTTCATCTCCTCTGAAATCGAGGGCTGTCGGCCACCCCCACAAAAATCAGGACAAATCCTCAACAGCTTTCATAGAACGCCGATGAAATGAACGAGACGACACAAGCGATACCGTAACTGACTTTCGATTGTTTCAAAAAGTGGACGAATTTTCAAGTGGCCCTTTTCATCCTTTCATTTTTCCGTACGTGACCCTCCAACGAAAAAGTTTGGACGCCCCCTGGCATAAGAGGTGACAATTTTCAAGTGGCCCTTTTCATCCTTTCATTTTTCCCTACATGAGCCTCCAACGAAAAAGTTTGGACCGCCCCCTGGTGTAAGAGGTGACGCTTGTATGCGTCGCTTGTCTTGATCTTGGAACTGCCTTTGCGTGTATGATGGTACTGATCTCCAAATCAAGGGAACCAACCGTCTGAACACGTCTCGCCTGTTGATTGAGCTGAGGGACTCCTACACATTTTTTTTTTTTTAAATGACCTGATATGGAACAAAACCAAAAAAAAATCCAAATCCAATCCAATCCAAACTTGTGTTCAATGTCAGAGGTTCCACAGTGTTTCACTTTTCTACTTTGTGCATCGATTTGTGCTCTGGCGGCTTTTAAGCGGCAAAGAGAGATGCACTCACACCACTTTTGAGTCTGTTGTTTTTTTTTTTTTGAACTCTGAAGAGGGCGGCCATCAGGGGGCTGAGCCAAAGACTCGCTTGATTGCGTCTCTCACAAGTGGGACGAGTCATTTATGACAGCCATCTACGTGCGGGAATCACATCTGATTCCGATTCTCTGATCACGTCACTTGACGGGCTTGATGAGCTCTACACCAGGTACGTGTTCCACACTCACAAAGGAAAATCTGAAAAGCAGACGCACGCAAAGGGGAGAAAAAACTGGCCACCCTATTGCGGCGGTTCCTTTGGGTTGCCACCTCTCCGACACTCCTCACGGCGTCGCGGCAAAAGCGCGAGGGCGAAAGAAATCGGAGGGTTTGGCTCCCCAAAACCCTGAAATGCAGAGACTCCCGTGCATTTCTTGACATGAAAAAACTAAATGCTTTGACTTCATTGACGTGATTTTACACGTCCTATTAGGTCACTTGGTGGTCGATGACGAGTCAAGAAAGCATTTTGGCGTACTTTAAGTTGAAAGTGCTTTCTTGGCAATGGACATTGTTCTTTTATTATTTTTTTTTTTATAGCCTGAAAAAGTGCCGTTTGTGAAACAAAGATTTGTACTTTGAACAGTGACGAAGCGCTTCTTTGAGCAGATCGACCGGGCCTGCTGTCGGGCATCCGTACGAAGCGCTGTCAATTCAACAAAGCCTGCCCGGGGGGACACAAGAGGACAAGATTGAAATGAAAGTGCTGTCAACGTAACAACCGGGCACACCTTTACTTGGCGAGAAAGAAAAAAAAAACCCAAAAAAACACTTGTCAACAACTTGTGTGCATACATCTTGCGCTGTCGACGACATTTTTAAAACCGGCTGTGTGCAGCCTGTTGTTTTGTGTGCAGCGAGCGAGTTATTAGGCGACGCTCGCGACAGGCATTGGCCCGGACTGCCAATGAGACCACAAAGAATCCCCCCCGCAGCAGGCGACGGTTCCCGCGAGTCACCTTTTTCCCTGGGGACGAACACGCGGCGGCTCCAGCCTACTCTGAGTCCAGGCCGAGCCGTCGCCGGACAACAATAGCGCGCGCACACGCTCCACTCCTGAGCTGCACCTGGTTCGGTGCTAATAACATTGGTGCCATTGAGTCAGGCTCGAGCCAAACAACGGCCTCCTTCACCGGAGACCATTGTTGGACAGCTTTGTCTTCGGTAACGAGGTTGCCTCTGGCTTTCCGGAGCCGTCGACATTCCATCTGAATTTAGCCCGGATTGTATCACGGTAACATCCGATCGATCTTTCGTCTCCCGGGATGACGAAGCGGTCGTTTACGGTAAAGAGCGGCACGGACGGCCTCATCGGTCCCGCCAATTGAATTGCCCGCAAGCGTGGATCGAGATGCAAAGCGTCTCTGCAATGTTCGGCGCGTCTTGAAAGGTCGCGGGGAGACAGCTATTGGAATTTTGTCCACTCGTCTCTTGTTGACTTCCAAAACGGAGAACGGAGCAGCCACTCAAAGTGAGATGGATCAACGAGCCGAGCGAGGCTCCTTCCTCGGACAGAAATGTTTGCTTTTCGGCGGAAAGACTTCCAATGTGTCGCAGGGTGAGTACAAAGAGCCCCGATGGGAGATCTTTTTCCGCCTGGTGTTTTGCGTTGTCATTAGCCAGCAGCCGACAAGCTGATATTTCTTGAAGACCTTCTGTTCTGTCCCCAATTTACAGTCAATTTAAGTTCGAATGTTGCATTTAATTTACACTAAAGTAACGTTAATATTTCTATGCGAAGTTGAGAGTTTTTTTTTATGCAACGTAAGTTTATTCATTTCATCGTAAACAGCATAGTTCACAACCGGACGTGACGTCGTCAAAGCGGAATATGCGTATACGGAAGCAGGAAGTAGAGTGTTAGATCATTCGTCACCAAGAGAGAAACGAGATGGTCGTCGAGTCTCATCCAGCTCAATCCACATACATCTTATGCCTTTGGCAGCATCGTGGGTATGTACAAGTTTGTATTTTTATCGGTGAACAATTCTGTGACGCTTTATGTTTCAAAAAAAAAATGCTGCTCAGCGATGTGCATAAAACGTGTTCAGATTGATGCTAGCTCTTGCTAATCGCGTTAGCACAACGATGTCTCCTTACTATTGCGGTTGTGGGAATGTTAGCTTACTTCGTTGGTTGTGCAGGAAAAGCAATTCATACGTACTGTGAATTCAGTTTGTTATTATTATGATGTTTGTGCGTGGTTGTGAATTGAAGGTAATTTCGATTTGTACTGTATGTTACAGTTTCACCTTTTTCTCCATCATTAAACCTGTGGACTAAGAGTAACGCCTTCAGAGTCGCGGTGTAGAAGATGAGTTTAACTGACTGTCCAAATCTGGCCGAGACAGTACACCATCCTCATGAAGGAGAATGAGAGCGGCTCAGGGCTGCCGTTCTCCTCCGTCTGGTTCTTGCGGCCCGGCGCCTTCCGCAGAGGGTGCCGCATTCATTGCTTTTCATTTGAAAGCGCCCAGATGTAGTCAAGCACCCGATCGTTTCCAAAAAAACAATGGCTTTGGTCGACCTGCAGCGTTCTGGATCCTTGGTCATTTTTCTCCCCTCCTATTTCAGTAAAATGGTGCTTTTGGCCCTAAG